TTCCAAAACCATACTAATTCTTCAGTAAGTTTACATTTCAATTACTGCAATACTGAAAGACTTTAAGTAGGCCATATCAGCCACACTATACAGGAAATTATACCCTAGGAAAGCTCTCTTTTAAAAATAGGCAAAGGAAGAAAGGAAGGTTGCCAAAATACACAGCACTTTTCATGTGTTTTGATTTGAACACAGCATCTGTTTTATCAGGTGCAATCTACTATTTGAAGGCTAACAGGGAATGGTAGTAGTTAGGGTGGAAAAAAGTAAATTAATAAAAATGTTTGCTTTCTGAAAATAATTTTGAAGTAGATGTCAGCGGTATTTAGGTAATAACCAAATAGCTGAAAGAAAGTGGTCTTTGTGATAAGTCAGACGGGACTATACTCCTTAACCCAGCAGAATCAAAGCTGAGAAACTAGACCAAATCTACTGAAGAAGTGTACATGCTCTTGTAAACACAATTTAGTATTTGATAGAGACTTGAAAGTCAGCTCTTCTTCCTTTTCTTATTTATTCATTCATTCAAGAAATATTGAGTACCTACCATATACCATGTACCACTGTGTGTATGGGAATATAGCAATTAACGAAACAATAAAACTATGGTGGAGGAGACAAACAAAACCAAATAAGTAATATAATATAATATCACATAGTATAAGAGGGTATTAAAAACATAACAGGGAAATTTTAAGGTTAATTTTACTCAAAAAAAACTATGAGACAAAGCAAATTTGGATGGGATCACCATACAGGAAAATTTTATGAGGATGGAGATCTGATAAAACTGTTATAATCAAAGGTTAAATTGCATAACTAAGCTTAGTTAAAACTCAGCATGAAAATAATATTTCAATTTTTTGTCAGAAGTAAATTTAAGTTGGAAATATTTAAAAATTTTACAGAACTTTCAAAAACTTCCAATTCCATTTTCAACCATTTTGATCACAATTTATTTAGATGCTATATAGCTGTGGCCTCTGCAGGTCTACCTTGGAATTAATCAGAAGCACATTCACTGGCTGGTTGTGACAGCTATTTAAACATTTTTTTTTTTTTGTGAAGCTGGGATCCTTACCTACTTTTCTAAAGATACAATAGCATGGAAGAAGAGAAAGAATAAAATATTAGAAACAGAAGATATCCAATTCCTTCTTTAATGATCTATGTGACCATGGGCAAGTTAATTCACTTCCCTGAGCCTATAATGTTGGAATATTTTCCCTGCCTACTTTACTGAACTGCAGTGACGACCAGTGGAATATTGTGCTATGCAGAATAACCCCCCCCCCCCCCCCAGCTCCCAAAGAGGCCCATGCCCTATGCTGAAATGTGTGAGTATGTTAGATTACATGGTAAAGGAGAAATCAGGTTGCTAATGGAATTCAGGTTGCTAATCAGGTGACACTGAAATGGGGAGAGGGTCCTGGAGTAGTCAGGTGAGCCCACTGTAATCACGAGGGTCCTTCTAAGTGGAAGAGGGAGGCAGAAGAGAGAACCCGAAGATTGCAGTGTGAGAAGGTCTCTGCCCAACATTTCTCACTTTGAAGATAGAAAACTAGAGCCATAAGCCAAGGAATGTGGGCAGCCTGTAGAAGCTAGAAAGGGTAAGTAAACAGATTTTCCACTAGAGCCTCCAGAAGGAATGTAGCCCTGTGGCTCCATTTCAGATTTCTGACCTAGAAAACTGTAAGAAAATGAATTTGTGTTCATTTAAGCCAGTAAGTGGTAATTTGTTCCAGAAGCAATTGGATACAATACTATACAAAAATGTTTTGAAACTGGTAGTGAATTATAGAAATGTAAGATGTTATTCTAATAGGATACCACAGCCTAGTCTCTCTAGAAGTCTTGAAGGTATGCAGCTTGGTCACCAGGAGGTCTTCAGAGTTGTACCATATTTCTTTTGTCAAAGGCAGATGTCCTGCCTTTCCTGTTTCAGTACCTGATCATTTTTGCTTTTAGCTCTCATTTTATTTGTCAAGCCGTGTTGATTACCATGTAATTACCAAACCACCTCCAGACACTTCCCTTTCTACTTCCCTAGTTTCTCTTCAATTGTTCATTATTTTGATATTCTTAAAGAGATGGTTAAGACAACTTTTTTGTAGAGTCACATTACCAAAGCAAAATTATGTACAGATAATTCCAATTTTGTGAATAATGAGTTAATCACTAAAAACAATTGTGCAAGGCAATATGTAAAGGATATAACGAAACACACACACACATAAATAGGTGTGGATAGATATACCAACACACCATTTTATAGTTTTTCCATCAGTTTGAATAAGCATGTTAATAGATTCTCTTTCAGAGGTAAAATTATCTTTAATTTATAAAGCACAATTAAAATTTCAGGGTCAGATCATTCTTATTAATCCCAAATTTATAGAATAATTCAGTAATAAAAATTTGAATGTTGTATTAAGGGAACAAGACACACAAATTCATGTTTTTAAGTCTTTAAAAATTAACATTAACAAAATTAAATTGATGCATAGTAAGTAATGGACTAATATTTTATAATGGCCAATCCCTAAATAACACCATCTTTTCTGTTCTTTCACCATTAATTTACACATGAAAGGTCTATTTCTTTTTATCACAATTTAATACACCTTTATATTTCTTATTGTTATCTTCTTATCTTTATTTTTAGGGGATGGTATTTATGGTATTTGTGTATATGCTGATAATATCCTCATACTATCTGAGTATCTCATCTAAACTTTTCAATTTGTTCTTAACTCTTCTTTCCCCCCAACAAAATCACAGAGATTTGTGAAGGGAGATAGGAGCATAACCTAAGCACAAATATACACACAAAGGCACACATGCAGGGCCACACCAGTTATTTCATATCCTGGGTCTATAACGCTTTATAGATGAAATGGACCCAAAATTTAGAACCGTATCACCTTGTTCATTTGTACAGTTAATGAGATTCAGAATATCTCATTTAATACCAGTATCACAAGCATTCCAAAAAAAGGAGGAATATATTGAGCAGTACATTTATTAACTACTAGTCAGTAGTTATAATCTCATCTTAATTCGTATTATCATGGTATTTGGAAATGAAGAGCAACTCTTATTTTTATCTATTAAGAAAACTCCAATTAAATTAAAATATTACACAGTAGGGCAAAGTGTTGTCTATGAATTAGTGCAAGGCTGTTTTGCTTTATTTATTTAATTTTTATTAAATCTGTTGGGGTGACATCGGTTGTTAATAGGATCATATAGGTTTCTGGTGTACATTTCTATAATACATCATCTATATATTGCATTGTGTGTCTATCACCCAAATCATTGTCTGTCATCAGACATTTGGCCCCCTTTACCTGACCCTCCCCTCCAATCCCCTTCCCTCCGGTAACTACCATACTGTTGTCTGTGTCTATGAGTTTAAGCTTTATATCCCACATATGAGTGAAATCATGTTCTTAGCTACTTCTGACTGACCTATTTTGCGTAGCATGATATTCTCAAGGTCCACCCATATCGTCACAAATGGCAGTATTCAATCTTTTCTTATTAAAAAAATTGTTAGTATTGTCAAGTCACATCCACTGAATCTAGTAATAAAAAAGTATACGTTGTATTTCATGTTTTTGGATTTTCCTGTCATTTTAATAGTAATTAGTTTTTAATTTTATTTTACAAAAGTATTGGCCTATGACTTCCTGGAAATTTAAAAATCAAAAATTTACCACAGGTAGCTTGAGAAGCACTGTGAACAGAAGACAAGTGCTTGTTTCTAAAAATGAATGCCTGCCAGTACTACGAAAGACCACTTGGAGCATTTATGATAACATACATTAAAATATGTCCCTTCGAACCATTTATAAAATTACTTTATATTACTAGGACATGAAGTCATTTCATCTGTTGAGACTACTTGACCAATCCTAGGTCTAAGAGATATCTCATAAAAAGACAGAACAATTTCAGAGCTCAACTAGGCAATTTCTCTTCCATTGCTAGATAAACATTCTACCATTCTGATTGATCTGTATATACTTCACTTCAAAAATTAGTTTTATAGAAAAGAGAAAAAGCAACTTATAAGTTCAATAAAGTGGGTTATTTATAAAGGTTTCATGCCTTCCCCCACCCTGGAAAAAAAAAGCACCCCCAAAAAATACAATAAAGAATTATCATCAGATCTCTGACCATTGAAATGGTTGGATGACTATGCTACCATCCAAAATCCCTTACAAAAAACCATGACTATATGCCCAAAAAGCTGAAAACAGGTACTCAAAGAAATCGTTGTACATGAATGTTTATAGCAATACCATTCAGAATAGTCAAAAGGTAGAAATACTCCATATGTTTATAAATGAATGAGTGGAGAAACGGTGTTGTGTATGCTTACAGTGGAACATTATTCAGCCATAAAAAGGAATGTAATACTGATACATGTATGCTACAATACGGATAAATCTTGAAAACAGGCTAAGTAAAAGAAGCCAGACACGAAAGGTCACATATGATTCCATTAATATGAAATATCCAGAACAGTTAATTCCATACAACAGAAAGTAGGCTTGTGATTGCAACAATCAGTAGAGATGAGGTATATGCATATTTAAATCCATTACAAAGTGACAGAACACCTACAAAAAAAGGTTTTGGGGCCACAGAGATAAATTCTCAGTGTGCCTATATATTTATAAGGCTATAAAATGAGACAATCCCCCAACCTCTTGTTATACTGGAACTTACAGACTAAATGAATGAGATATCCAATTACTCATTTGGGAATCATACTTATTTAAATGCAAACTGACAGTACACTATTTTTGACACTCCGCTTTGGAATTATATGCAAAATTTAATTACTTTTAAATTAGACTAATTTCAGTACTTCACATTTCTATTACATTTTAAACCCAAAATATTATGTTTTTTTAGTGTTGAATATAATGGGTACATTAAACTAAAATTAATCATTCATAAAAATTAATCATTCATAAAACTATACTTACATATTCCTTCACGTTTTTGGTTTTCACAGTTTTGTATGAATAATATGCAGGATACAGCATTCCAAACACCAACCTAAAAGTAAAAAGTATGAGAAATTAATAAAACAATGCTTTTAACAGTTCATGAAAATATCACCTGTCAGAAAGTATCAAGTACATGAAACACACATGACAGTGTAAATTTGTATGAGCACACACTTGTATATTAACTAAATCTCTCAGAAAAGCAAAAGGAAAACACACTGATTTTTTTTTAAACAAAAAGATGTCAATATTCCAGTGTAAAGTTGCAAAAAAAAAATTTCCCAACCCCTCTAGTCAGAGATAACTACAGACAAAAGTTTATTGTATGCAAAATTCCACTTTCATCCATGTGTAGTATACATTGTATATAACATGCGCGCGCGCGCACACACACACACACACAATATGTGGCAATGAAAAAGCAGTCCTTCACTTCTAATTACAATGACAGTGCTGGGAAACAATACTTGATGTATTTATTACAATACACATTAAAATAGCTCTTTAAGCATTATCAAATGCCTAAATCACATGCAGGACTTGTTTTAATGACATCTGTTAAGATTATTTCACCAAATCCCAGATCCAAGAGATGTGTACATATATACATATAATGAAAGAAAAGACACAGAAATGGCATGACAGTTGTCATTTTCACACACTACATCATGGAAATTCTTGCCCTCAAATATTATTCTACTGTATTATTCTTAATATCATCATTATATTCTACATTGAGATCCCCACTGTTTATCTAAACAATCCCATATTTATCAGCATTTCGTTAATCTCCTGGTTTTGGCTATTGTACATAAAACTGAAAAACACGTCTGTGTATATCGATATCCAGTTACTCATTGTGATGTTATTGCTTCAAAGAATACACACATTTTTATCTACTACCAAAACACCTCCAGAGAGGTAGTTCCATTTTATATCCCTATACATCGTCAATCATGGGTATCATCATTTCAAAAAAAGTTTTGCCAGCTAAACAAATAGAAAAGTAATATTCTCACAGATGTTTTAGTGTGCATTTCTGAACACAAGTGTGAATTTTTTTCAAGTGTTTACTGGCCTTTTGATGCTGAGGGTGTGTGACATCTTGTTATCTAATTGCCTTTTTTTTGGTCTGTTTTTAAAAAGAATGTTTTATTTTTGAGTATTTTAAAGTTACATAGAAAAGCTGGGAAGATAGCATAGTTCCCATATACCCTGCACTGAGTTTCCCCTATTATTAACATCTTGCATTAGTATGGTCACAGTTATTAGCCAATACTAATATTTATTAACTGAAGTCCACACTTTATTCAGATTTCTTTAGTTTTTTCCTAAGTATTCTTTTTTTTCCTGTCCTGGGATCTCATCCAGAATTGCATATTAAACTCTTTCTTACCTCCTTAGTTCTTTTTGGCTGTAACAGTTTTTCAGACTTTCCCTGGGAAATGACCTTTGACTGCTCAATGGAGTATTGGTCAAGTTAATTGTAGGAGCCCCTCTTCTGGAATTTGTGTCATGTTACTCTCACGATTAGACAGAGGTATGGGTTCTTGGGAGGAAGACCACAGAGGTAAAGTTCCACTTCATCGTATTTTATCAAGGACACATACTATCAACACATCACTCTTGACATTACCCTTGACCACCAGACTAAGGCGGTGTTTGTTAGATTTGCGACTGTAAAGTATTCCCCCTCCCTCCTTTTCAATGCTGTACTCTTTAGAAGAAGTTCCTATGCACAGGCCACTTTAGTAGGAAGTTATGCTCCATTTTGAGGGCAGAGTATCTATATAAATTATTTGGAATTTTTCTGCACAAGAGCTTTGTCTATTCTCCCTTTGTTATTTATTTAACTATGATTTATCTGTATCACTACAGACGTGTTTATTTTACACTTGGGTTCTATTCCAATAATACTTTATTTTGTTGCTCAAAGCTTTGAACACTGGGAGGTCTTTCAGTTGGTTCCTGTGTCCATTTTATATACCTCTATAACTGAGAGGGTTTTATAAAAAAAAAACCACACCAACAATTTGCTACTTTCTGGCACTATAGTATGTACCAGACTCCTACTGTGTACTCTCTGCCTCGTTCCTAGAAGCAGCTATTTCTCCAAGATGCCTTGGTTTCTTTTATCGGAGGATGGTATTTAACACCAAGATCTGCGTGCTTGGTACGCTCGTTGTTACTGGAGTATTGATTCTAAGCCCTTCTTTGTCTATTTTTATATGTTAACCAATGTTTTTCTAGGTTACTATTATCTTTTGACTTTGATTATGAAGTTTGCTGAAGTACGGATTATATTATGTTTGCTAGGGCTGCCATAATAAAATACCACAGCTTGGGTGGCTTAAACAGCAGATAATTATTTTCTCATAATTCTGGAGCCTAGAAGCACAAGATCAAGGTACTGGCAGGCTTGATTTCTTCTGAGGCCTCCTTCCTTGGACTGCAGTTGGCTACTTTCTTACTGTGTCTACACATGGTCTTCCTTTGCTCTCTGTGAATGTCCTGATCTCTTCTTGTAAGAATACCAGAGTGGATTAAGGTCCACTCCAAAAGGACCTCATTTTAACTTAATTGTCCATTTAGTCACATTCTGAGGTATTGGAGGTTAGGACTTTAACATATGATTTTTTGCGGGGGCAATGGGGCATGATTCAACCCGTAACACATATCGTATATTTATGAACTTCTATATTAAATACGAGTGTGCATTTATATCAAATAAGCCTTTCTTACACTGAGAGCAAATAAATATCTACATCTTAAATTATTTGTTTGTTTACAGTTTATTTATTTATTTTATTTTGGTGAGGTGCAGTAAATCCCTGGTAGCTTTCTTATCACTGAAGCCTACAGTTTGGGCTGATGTCACCAGATGTAATGAATACCAAGTCTTCTCCTGACGGGAATTTTATTCATACCAATTGGCAGCCATATTGCTAACAGACTCTGCTTTACCCAAAAATACTACCTACACTGTGAATGCTACTTCACCAGAAACCAATCCCTAAATTCTAGATAATGGGATTTTTGGCTTAGTTACAGGGCCTAGGGCTTTTCAATTTAATACAGCCTCCCCCTGCCCGTACCAAAGGCACAGAAGATTTCCAGCTTAGTAACAGCTAAGAAAGCAACTAATCTCTAACCTTAAGAAACACAGTGTAAATAAGAACAGAACTACTGCTGTATTCATTCTCACTGCCAAGACAAGTGGGATCCCATAGTTACCCATCACAGTTACAGTTTACATATTTATGTTAATAATTTCAATTCATTTTGCATTTACTTAAAAATCGGATTACAATTAATGTATTATCTTCCATAGTCCCATAATTCTAGTACCACTGAATTTAAACTCAAACTGAGATTCTTCATTTCTATTAGTGGATAGGTCTTCGGATTCCTTGCCCTGCTACAACATGAATCCAATCTGTAACCCAGGCCTGCTGGTTTCCTTGGTGAGAGTTCATGCATCCACCGTTCTGTTAGTTTCAAACCACTGGCTGGTAACACACTGAGGTTCATGTCATCCCATCTGACTTACCAGTTTCCCAACGCATGCCTCTGGCTCCACTGTCAGATCAGTCTTCCTAAGATACCCGCAACACTGCCTTGCTTTAAAGACTGGGGTAGCTGGCCGCCTCTCCCTCTCACCAATGAGCCCCTGTCATCATAACATAATTTGAAAACCACTACTTTTATAAACCATCTAAGCCAATATGGTTTCCTCAATATTATATTTCTACTTCAGTCCTGGAATGTATGCTCCCTGCCTGCAATGCCTCCCACTCTCAGCTTTCCTCCTCTCCTTTTTCTTCCATTTTTTTCCTTGCTAAATTAATTCAACCCTCCCCCAACTCCAACCCTCTTCCATAGTCTTCTAAATTATTCTTTTTTTGAACTTCAAAATTTGTCAGGATTTGTCATTTTGCCTTTAGCATATTCTATTTCAGATTATTTGGTGTATTATTTTAAGGCTATAACTAACTTTCTAAATAGATAATTTTCTTATATTTAGTAAGGATTAAGTGCTAGTTGATATTATGCACACAGGTGCTTTGCCTTTATTTTTTAACCTCTATATTGAATAGATCCAGTCAAATGAATAAAGCGCAATATCCCTAACACCTAACATTTGTAAGAATAGAAAGCAATAATGTATTTCCTTTGGAACATGGGAAAGATTAAATGTTTTAGTGAATAGTGGGACCATTTTTAAAGACCCCCACTATTAATATTATAATTTATTATTGCTCTGATATGACTATTACTGAGTAATTTATTACTAACATCTGTAATATTTTATAGTTTTTTTTCTGGTTTATTTTCATTAATAATTGGGTCCTACTGTAGATGTTTGCAACCTGGGAGGTCGAGCATAAACCAATGCATGAGCAGTGTATAGAATCAAATAAAGTTTATTTTAGAAGGCCACCTACAAGATAATCTTAAGGTTTATAAAGGAAGTTATTTGCTATAAATAAAATTCACCTATAAATTTGAATATTGTTTCAGTTATAGAGGCAGGAAAAAAATAGTTACTCACATCCTCTTAATCTTATTTTTGCCTACAAAGGGAGAACTCTGCCAAAATACTCGTGACACCCTTCCCTCCCATTAAGGTAAAGTTGCCTATATGAACACTGGCTACATTGAAAAACTTACACTACTTAAAAAAAGGAAATAAAATTTATGGAAATTTAGTAGTGGAAATGGTCCTTGTATCATTTCTGATACATGGAAAATACTTGAACTAGTTGTTTTCTGGACAGATGCTCAGACACAATACATCTTTCACCAACATTGTTTTAGAGAACAATAAATAGCACGGTCAAAGGCAAAACTCAGAAGGATATACTGAGTGCTCTCAATATGACAACGTCATTTAAGCATAAAAGTTATCAGCATAATTTCATAAAAATTGATTACAGCTTCTTTTTGTAACTAAGAACCTAAAATCAGCTCACTGTAGAATTTTTAGAAGATGTAGAAAAGCATAAAAAAAGACAAAAATCTCTAGTAATTCCATTACTGAATGAATCA